ACAACCCTAAAATCTTGGGTTGCTAGCTGGGAAGGAATATTCAGTAAAAATACCCAGAAAAAGAAATGTCAGGCAGTAATGCTATATATTTCTAAATATACTACTACTAAGCAACAAAAGTTCAAAACAGGCCAGGTGCAGTGGCTCACGCCTGTAATCCTAGCACTTTGGGAGGCCGAGGTGGGTGGATTGCCTGAGCTCAGGAGTTTGAGACCAGCCTGGCCAACATGGTGAAACCCCGTCTCTACTAAAATGCAAAAAATTAGCCAGGCATGGTGGTGCGCGCCTGTAGTCCCAGCTACCTGGAGGCTGAGGCACGAGAATTGCTTGAACCTGGGAGGCAGAGGTTGCAGTAAGCCGAGATCATGCCACTGCGCTCCAGGGTGGGCGACAGAGGGAGACTCTGTCTCCAAAAAAAATAAAAATAAAAATAAATTTAAAAAATTCAAAGCAGTTTTCATACTTAGTATAATTGAGAAATGAGAAAAACTACATCAATTATAATAGTGTTTTGGGGATTAAATTCAGTAACTCCCTCTTAAGATTTAAGGTTGTGCCACCTCTTCTTAGCATTTTTGTCAAGTAAAATTTTTGATGTTGCTTTAACTTTTTTTCATGTTCCTATTTTCTCTACTTAAGCAGAGTTAGCAGTGATAGTTTTCCTTATTTAATCACATCTTATATGTTTTGCATTAAAATATGCCTTTTAAAATGTTATCCATAATTAAAATGTTATCCATAGAAAAGTTATCCTATTTTCTCTAACATAAGCATAGTTAGTAGTGATGTTTTCCTTATTTGATCGAATATTTACTTTTTGCATTAAAATGTCTTTTAAAATGTTATCCATAATTGGATATCCATAATATCCAATATACATGTCTTACTTTACTGTAAACTTATTACTTTACTGTTGGCTTATGATTTGCTTAAATTTGGAGAAACTATGACTTATTTAACTAGAAGTCTCCTAGGCACGCATACTGCTTGCTTTTCCTTACTGAAAATTATGCTGATTTTTCTTCTGCATGTGCTCCTGTTTGATTCCAGTGCTAGCGACCTGATCTAGGCAAATTTCACAGGACTTCCTAACTCCAATCCCTCTTGGTTATAGGCTGTCTTACAGCTGCTGCCATAATTTCTAATTCTTCTTTGCTGCAGAGCCTAGATAATTTCAGACTGTTCAGTCCAGCGTATGCTACAAGCACCTGATTCCTCCACCTCAATCCTGCCCCTCTTCTCTTGCTACCTGCCTCTCTGACTTCTGCACCGGGCCTCTCCATCATCTTCTGCTAAATGAAATTCTCATTCTTGTAATAAAAGAAACCCAATAACTTTCCAATCATCCCTACTCCACTTGGGTCACTTTTCTGTTTTTCCTTATCACCAGTGAAACCAGTTTTTACTTAATTACTTTATTTCCATATATTCTCATAACCATACATTTATATATTTGCCTACCTCCCCACCAGTTTATAAACTTAGTAAAGTAAGGGTCTTAATCTTCTACTGAAATCCTATTTCAAAAACATCCTTCAGTAACTGACTCAAGATGTACAACTTTATCTTTTATGTGATTTTTTTAAACTGTTAAAAATACATGAAAAAAAAAAAAAAAAGAAACGGAATGTACCAAATATTAATAGCAGTTACCTCTGGAAAATTTCAAAATGGGAGTTGGAAGGGGCAGGGGTAGGGTTGGTCGTAGTAATGTACCTCAATACATACCCGTTACCTAAAATGGTGACTGGCACATGGTCTTCAATTAATATTTGTGGAATGAATGGTCAGAGTCTAAATGTTCAGTTAAGAGTATGAATGTTTTTTGGTAAGTTCTTTTATAATCTTTAGTACTTCTTAAATATTCCATAACGAACTTGGATTTATCATATAAAAACTCACACTAAAAAAGATACACAAGCAAATCTGACATGGAAAGCATGACAACCAAATTTGACACGGATAAAGTTTTAAGATTCAGCGCAAGGTTTGATCCCAGTATCTTAAAACTTTTTGGAAGACAAGTCCTCTATTGAAAGCAGACGGCTTTTAAAAACATCTAATGATACAGAATCTTGAATTGACAAACTAAATGTTGTCATAATTATTTCCTCCAAAGAAATTCTTAATCTCATGCAAAATACCTAGCTGTTGCATCCTGTTTTGTGGCTTCAAATACTAACAATATAGTGATTCCCCATTTCATTTTTAATATTTTTTTAGAGACAGGAGTTGGCTCTGTCTCAAGTGATCCTCCTGCCTCAGCCTCTCAAGCAGCTGAGACTACAGGCGCATGGCAACCCACCCAGCTAATTTTTATTTTGTAGAGATGGGGTCTTGCTACATTGCCCAGGCTGGTCTCAAAATCTGGGGCTCAAGTGATTCTTCTGCCTTGGCCTCCCAAAAGTGCTGAGGTTACAGGTGTCAGCCACCATGCCTGGCCTAGTGATTCCACATTTTAATTTTCTCCCCTAAACTCTACACTCATATGTCCAACTGCCTACTACACAATGTCTCTGTTAGAATTATTAATAGGAATCTCAAAACTCAATTATGTTCAAGGCAGGATTTGATTTATACCCTCCAATTTGCTCCTCCATTGGTTTTCTTAAATCGCAGTTAATGGCAGCACCACCCCTCTCACACCAAACATTGGAGTCATCTTTTGATCTTTTTCTTCTTCTTCACATCTAATCCATCACCAAGTCTTCTCAGCTCTACCACTAAAACATACCCCAATTCTGAGTTCTCCCCATGACTATCACCCCAGTCCAAGGTCCCACCATCTCTCACCTGGATGACTATAAAAGTCTTCCTTACCTTGTTCCTCTAGTCTTTTCTCCACTGACCAGTGAAATTTACAACACACCACACAGCCCCTTTGCTTAAAACTCTCCAGTGGCTTCCCATCACACTCAAAACAACATCCTAAATCCCTCACTGTAGGTGCATAGCCCTAAATGGTCAGGCTCTTGCCAATCTCTAGAACTTCATCACCTACTATTCTCCTCCACTCAATGGACTTACCTTACCGGCATTCTTTATTTCTCAGCAAATAATTCCATTTGTGCTTTGGGGACTAGTTTTATTGTTCTCTTCATCTCAAACGTTTGTTCTTTGATCTTGGTCTAATTTTCTTATCATTCAAGCTTACGAACCTATAAAATTGTGCCCCAGTCCCTCCACCACCATATTCTGCCTCATTTTACTCATAGCTTCAGAAATTACCATTTCATTGCTGTCTTATCTACTATAATTCAATAAACTCCGGAAGGCAGTAAAGCTTTGTCTTGTACCCCAATGTACACCCAATACTTAAAATAGTGAGTGGCACATGGGTCTTCAATAAATATTTGTTGACTGCATGGCTGAAGAGAGTCTTAATGTTCAATCAAGCATCCAGGGCATGAAAACAAAACAATTGCTCCAACTCATCTACACTTTGCAATAGCAACCTCTCCTCCCATCCCCAACAAATAACCAGCTACCTCCCACAAAATTTCCATCCCAAACCTCTTTAGAATATACTATTTTAAAAGTCTATGTTCTGGATCAGCTGTTGCAAAATTAATACAACAAAACCAGAGCCTCAAATATATGTAGCTTTTATGCACATGGGCCAAGCAGCATTGCCCTCTTTGGAACTTTCTTACCCTCAAGTCAGCCCTTGGTATACATTTCTATCTAATTTCATCTAAGTAAAACTGTATGTGCTGGGGTACAGGTAAGCAAACAAATCAGTGCTATTTGCTTTATGCTAACACTGTCAAAGGCGGACCTGGTTCTGTATCTTTCTTAGGAGGGTCCTATGGCCAGGCGCGGTGGCTCACACCTGTAATCCCAGCACTTTGGGAGGCTGAGGTGGGCAGATCCCCTGAGGTCAGGAGTTCAAGACCAGTCTGGTCAACATGGTGAAACCCCGTCACTACTAAAAATACAAAAATTAGCCAGCCGTGGTGGTGGGCACCTGTAATCCCAGCTGCTCAGGAGGCTGAGGCAGGAGAATCACTTGAACCTAGAAGGCAGAGGTTGCAGTAAGCCAAGATCGGGCCACTGCATTCCAGCCTGGGTGACGAGAGTGAGACTCTTGTTACCAAAAAAAAAAAAAAAAAGGAGGGTCCTGATTCAATCACAGGCTCTTTGGCTTGACTAAAAAGCAGTATTTGCTATAAAAATAAGAGATCTAAGACCAGTCTCAATAAAACTTACCAAATTAATGCCGAGAGAAAAGAAAGATTTGAAATAAACATAAATAGCAAACAGATCAAAATGTGAAATAAAAAAAATCTTAAGCTTTGGATTTTGTCAAATGAAGCTTAAAATTCAAGTATCAGTTCTTATGGTTCCGGCCATTACAAATCTTATGTAAACATGAGAGCTAAAAACAGATTGGTGTGTGGAGAATGATTATAATGATTATTTGGGCCCAAGTTTTGTCTAAGAAACATAAATTTAATGATAATTCTTAGTAACTATTTAATCCAAGCTGTTTTGCTTCCAATATTTTGTACTGTGTTTAGCCAGAAAAGAAAATACAGATGAACGCTTTCTCTTTGTAAGGTGACTGTATTATAGACAAGGCTAAAGTAGCAAGACTAAACTTTTAGTGCAGATAATAAAATCTGAATAGTACAAGAATACTCTTCAGGTAGTATCTATAGGATAAGATCTCTAAATGTTTTTGTATCAGGTGGCAATGCCATCTAAAATAATATTAACAACATAAATGTATATATGTGCATACATACACACTTACACATATAGGCGAAGGGAGAGGGGTGTGTGTGTGTGGAAGAGAATGAAGAGAATGAATAAGAATGGGTACAAATCAAAGCAACCTTTTCTTGGGTTAATTATTTCAACTATAAAGATGTATCTCAACTTCTAAAGAAATTCCTGGTTTGTATTTAAATGCACTTTAAAAAGACCATAACACACTCAAATTTAGTTGACAGGCTACAATGGGATTCAGAAAAGGACACAGTGAATATAGACTTAGGTGCAAGTTCATGCTGGTGATTTTTGTTTTTGAAAATGTAAGCCACTAATATTTTAAGAAAAAAATTTAAACCAAAAATTGCATATTATTATACACAAACTGAAACATAAGTGACTTTTAGCACAGTGTATACATGCTTACATAAACTCAAACACATTTAAAACAATTTCCATTTAACATATGAAAGTTTTGAAATACATAAAAGCATTAATACTTTCTATAAAACTACAGTTAGAACATCAATTTGCTACAAGCATATAAAAACATCAAGTGCTTTCTTGGAGTTTCAAGTTTCCTCTCTAAAACACAATCTTGCTCACATATATAGTCCTTTTCCAATAATCAGTATGAACTTTTTGTTTCTCAAGAGGTTTATTTTCCAGGTACATTATAAGCTCAAGAAAACAGACCCAACAATTATGCGATATAATTATGTCATAACAACTTAATTGCACATAATGCTTTAAAGTAGGTTTGGATGAAGTTCTCAAACACTTTGGTATATGATCTTCAGGGACTTTAATTAGAAACAACAGAAATTCTAAGTCCCTTCAATCCCCATTTTGCTTTAAAATGGACAAGTCTTTGGTTAAAGTTCTACATTTTGGGCATTTATTTTTAATTAAGATGGTCCCCAAACCAATAAATGGTACTGATGTATTACAAATTCACAAGACTTCATTTAACCTGCTTCTGATGCAGTGGGAGGTTACAGATACTCATTTACTATAATATGTCATTGGATAGTTTCAATCTTTCACTTATAAGCAGAGAAATCAAAAGATTTATTACTTCTCTGTCAGTTTTCTGTTATAACCTAAACTGTACAGTAATTTGCAGTAACTATACTGCTCCACAGTATATATAATTATGACTGATAAGATGTAGAGCATTAAATTTAGAGTTAGCTTATTTTGATAAGTCAATATTAGACTGTACAGTAAGTCTGCATTAACTATGAAAAGGTTGTTAGTTAATGCTTATTTAAAAACCCCAAACCATTCCATTTACAAGAGAAATTGTTGCAAATGTATAAAACAGCAGATATACAAGGAGAACACCAAACATACTTTATTAGCACAAAAAAAGCAGCCATAACAAGGCACAGCAAGCAGAAACATACATTAGCAGTCAAAGGGTTAGTGTTGCATACAAATATAGCTCTTCTTTTTTGTAGCCTTGGCAATAGCCATAGGGATGTAAAATAACATTCTGTAGCAGCAGGTAAGGAAACTATGGAGCACTCACCAGTGGTACAGAGCACATTAACAAAAAGACACAAGAATGGATTCGGCTACTGTAGTGCAAAATGTCTAGGACAGAACTGTAAATTCAGTTCAGTTACTAAGAAGCAAACACTAGAACTTGATATAACTTCCAAAAGAGCTCACTCAAGTAGTAGTACATATTATTCTAAGTGACAAAAAGGTGCTAAGTAAAGTTATTTACAGATATAATGGTTGTACAGTACCTTTTAAATCTGCAATTTAGGTTTCAGATTTTCCATTAAGAATTAACTGCACTGAAATTCTATAAATTATACTTAAGCAATTCAGCTATGAGAGTTTACAAAAAAGAGACAAATTCTGCCATCCAAATTATTAATTACAGTTCAACAATATCTCAACATCAGCAACCACTGTAGTTACTATTATCTGACTTGTTTGGGCATCTTCTAGTGTCATGTACTTCATGGTTCACAAAATCATCCTGGGCATAGGAACAGATCCAACTTTTAGGAAACAACAATTAGACTGCACATCAACTTAAAAAAAATCACACGCAAGACTACATTGCAGCAGCTATTCCAAACGCCTGTTTTAAGTTAAAGCACTCATTTAAAAAATTAATACCTAGGGCCTTTCAATAAAATTCTACTACTAGCTTTGTAAGTCTGAAATTTTAAGAATGACTATTTAGAAAATCTGGTTTACTTAACAGTACCTTTTGCAGAAGAGAAAAGGCGTCTGATTATAAACTACATCAACACGTAAGTGAACTGCACTATGCCCTTGTGGCCAGAAAATTGCATTTTTTTCTAAAAGGAAGGCAGTCTTTTATTCTTTCTGGACTTCCAAAGCTTGATTTATAGTAACTACAAACATCACTATTTTTGGAAGGTTATAGAAAAACTCTTAGAAAAAATAATTTCAAACATTAGTCACACTGTTGAAATACTCATCCAATATTAATAATTTGTTCTTCAGTAAGAAATAGAATTCTTCATAACAAATGCCCCAGAGTTGCCTCACTCAAATACTACAGCCATTAAAAACCAAACTGTTAGCGAAATCGGCAAAATGTTTTTGTAGTCTTACTTAACACCTGTAGCTCTATCCTCTGGTGTTCCAATAGGCACCATATTTATCTGAATAAGTAACAGCAGGTCGCATCTGACAGATACTAACACTAAGCTTACATACTGTATGAAAAAGCCTAACACTGCTACGTGTGCTTGCTATAGGTGTACTGTCTGATGCACATGAAAGCGGACCTAGTTAACACCCTTTGGGGACCGGAAAGTTTACTTTGCCTTGACTGGTTCTCGTTCTAACCAGCGAACTCTAACTTTTTGTTTATAATGATACTCTTTTAAAAAATCCTGTAACATTGAGGGTAGAGGGAGCCCATCAATTCCATCATATGTAGTGCACCTGCAGATTACCGCGCGACAGATATACTGCAGGCTAAAAGGAAAAGTCCTATTTAGTGATATAGTAAGCAATGGTTCAAAAAACATGCACGAACTGGGATCTTTATAATGTTCTAAAAGTCCTGTTACAGTGGAGGAGTGAAATACACAGGGGTCATGGGCATCGAAACTAAAGTTGTGATTCCACTGCTCAATTCGGGCATGCAGGGATCTGTTGTAGCGGCGGAAGCTCACAGAGAAGAGGTAGTCCTCTTGCGCAGAGTCCCTGAGCAAAAACGTGCCTTCAGGTTTCCCTTCGAGAAGGGCTTCTGCTTCATAACGGTCCATCACTCCCCAGTAACAGGGATTCCCTGTAATTTGAAGCAAATCAGGCACGAGGCAGTGTATGTAATCAATCTGTGTGTGGACTTTCCAAGCTCCCTGTCTGCTAACATGGGTATGGCTGTCTCCAGATATCTGACGCTGCTTCTGCCTCCGTGACTGCAAACACAGGGTGGTTGTATCCTCTTCCGAGTCACAATTAGCTTGTGGAATTGCAGAACTGTCCCCACTTATTTCAGTCATTCCAGGAGCTAACTTTGGTCCCAGTTTATATAATGGATTAACCTGTGCAGTAGCTTCAAATGTATGTATTTGTGCATTGGGAGGGGGATCAACCCCTTCTTCAATACTAAGCCGCCTTCTCTCTCTAAGCCTATCTTCTTCATCTTCTGTAGAAACCAAAGATGGATCAAATGTATCAAAAAATGTTGAATGTGGGCTCACAGGAGCTGTATGCTGTTTAATCAAATGCCATTTTTGGGCTAAATCTGAGCCAGCAGGAAATGGGCATTTCTCAAGCATTAATTCAGACAGATGGATTTTTCTTTTATTGGAAAAAAGAGGCTTTGACTGCTTGCTGTAAGTTCTCATGGGAAAACACAAGCCCACAGTATCCTGCAACCTCTGTCTCAGAGAGCGACTTCCTACAGTTCTGCTGGAAACACTGTCCATGTCGTGTACGGAACTTACGCCGTAGCGCCTCTCTCTCCTTTGAAGTCCACTTCGAGTTCTACCAAACTTCTTATCAGCATCCAATGAACTCTGGGTCTTTGTAGAACAGGAATGTTTTTTCTTCCCACCCCATGGAGCATGTCGAGAGTAGGAATCTCTTCGTGCAAGTCTTGTTCCTGGGGTAACACAAGAATCATTATCCTTTTCGATGCTTATTTCAACAATTTGAGGGATTTCTGTGGCACAATTTTGATTTCTCCTTGAAGAATTCTTTGAAGGGCTTAATCCCAGTTGTAAGGCAACATTTTCTCTTAAGGGACTGCTTTGTTGCTGAGGAGTTGAGTCTCCTATGCCGATGTTTTTCTCTCTGACAGACAAACATCTGTTGGAGTTCATGTCCACATTTTCACTACGGCTTCCTCCCTCATGACCGAAGAGATTCTGACACCTGTATTTGAAGTTATTCCACATTTTCCCCACTTTATCCATTGATTATAAAATCTAAAGACAAAACAGGAAAAAGAGAAAAATAAATTAATCAGAGTAGCATGTGAAGGTAGCTAAGGCAGTGCCCACGTCCCTTTCCATTCGGAATTTCAGTGATACTGGCCAAGAGTTCATCTACACTGCCCTGCTGAAGTGATGAGGCGTGTGTTCTGTTGGGCAGCAGGAAGGCCACCGGGCCTTTTAGGCACTGACCTTGTTCAAGCCAGTCCTTACTTCCCATTTCCTTTCAGGCAGAATATTCCGAACTCAGGTGAAAGGAAATAAACACTCTTAAACTCTGGTTTCTTTTTCCCGTGCTTCAACCTCTCTCCTTAACTTGAATATTACAAAGGCAAAATATGTTCCATATTGTTGAAACACATTTGTATTCAACTTTTCAAAAGTTATAACCAGGACCACATTTTGTAACACATTAAAATTAGTTCAAAAACCTTTCACTAGTAGCAATCTTCCCAATTTCACTTAACCAGTTCCTTGCAATTCTAAGGTTGACAGGTTCATCACTTGTGAAAAACCCGTATCTTCCCTCCCACCCTGTAATGCATCAAATTTATCCATGATTTTGAAGAAGCAGTTTGAGTAGAAAAGAAAGAAAAATAATGTAATATTTAGGAAAGGTGTCTTTTTTTTTTTTTTTTTTTTTTTTTTGAGAAGTCGTCTTGCTCTGTTGTCCAGGCTGGAGTGCAATGGTGAGATCTCGGCTCACTGCAACCTCCATCTCCCAGATTCAAATGATTCTCCTGCCTCGGCCTCCCGAGTAGCTGGGATTACAGGCATGCACCACCACGCCTGGCTAATTTTTGTATTTTTAGTAGAGACGGAATTTCACCATGTTGGTCAGGCTGGTCTTGAACTCCTGACCTCAGGTGATCCACTGGCCTTGGCCTTCCAAAGTGCTGGGATTACAGGTGTGAGCCACCATGCCCGGTCAGGAAAGGTGTCTTAAGCTTTCCAATTCTTAATCCTGGAAGAGTTTGGAAATTATAATAGAGTAATAGAAAGGCAGGCTATGGTACTATAGTAATCACAAAAACAAAAACCAAAAACATACAATTTGGCATCTTTATTCTTGTTCCTTAAAAAAAATCTAGGCTGGGCATGATGGCTCACACCTGTAATCCCAGCATATTGGGAGGCCGAGGCAGGTGGATCACGAGGTCAGGAGATCGAGACCATCCTGGCTAACACGGTGAAACTCTGTCTCTACTAAAAATACAAAACATTAGCCGGGCGTGGTGGCGGGCACCTGTAGTCCCAGCTACTCGGGAGGCTGAGGCAGGAGAATGGCATGAACCTGGGAAGCAGAGTTTGCACTGAGCCAAGATTGCACCACTGCAGTCCAGCTTGGGTGACAGAGCGAGACTCTGTCTCAAAAAAAAAAAAAAAACAAAAAAACAAAAAAAAACTAAAGCAGTGTATGACACTTTACAAATAAATTCTTTTAAGACTACAATATCAACAGGCACACTGTCTAGTTCAGTAATTACAAATCAACATTAGAAGAAATGGAAAAACCTAAACTTAAAATTCAATCGGTTTTGTCACATTATGATAGCAGAAAACTTTGGCTGATCTTGAACTTTGACTAGTTATTTTTGTCATAAACTCTTATATTTTCAAGAAGTTGACTAGGAGTAAGAGAATAACAGAGAATAAACTTTCTTAGAATGAACTGTAGGTCTTCCCATTAGTTTCTCACAGAAAGGGCTCTTGACTAATGGAAACACAACATAGAAAATTAATGTCCATGATATCATAAAATGTACTTTCAGATGATTTAATTCTTTATTAAAAGCACACTGTCAGGCACATATGAAGTTTGCATGGTAGTTGGCATCTATTATAATAAAATGTATTAGACAGAACTGTTAAATCTCAGCAAAGTCTATTTTAGAACACGGCCTCCTCTGTCTTGCAAAAATCTTTCTCGTAAGCCTTTTTATGAGGTTTATGCCATTTGAACTTCACGTGCCTTGTTATCATTTATTCTTCTTCTTAAATTAAGATTTCAGTTCCTTGCCCATAGTCCTGTTAATACAGCCGAATTCCTGCCATATTCTTGGTGACTCCATTGTCTTTGTAGATGTTCTCTTCCAATATCCTAGCCCCTTTCTATCCTGGTTTCTTCTCATTTATTTTACAGTTAGTTTTTATTTTTACCTAATTCACATATTTGTAGTAGTTTGAAGGTCAAATACCACCACAAGACTCTTAACAAAAAATAGCACCACCACCCACCATGTGACTACTAGAAAATTTAAAAGTAACATGTGACTCAGGTTACATTTGTATTGAACATTACTGATGTACAGCAAGGGCCAGCAAACCAAAGTCTGAAGGCCAAATCTGGCCCCTGGCCTGTTTTTGAAAGGATCCCAGCTCAGAAAAATTTTTACATTTTTAAAGGGATTAAAAAAACATAAACACACAAAGAACATTTGACAGAGACCACATGTAGTCTGCAAAGCCTAAAATATTTTCTATTTAGCCCCTTTCAGAAAAAGTTTACTGACCCTACTCTACCTATTTGAGATAAACCACATCACTCTAGACACTAGAAGAGCCGTATTCAAGAAGTTCAAGAATTTAACTCTCTTCTCTGTGTTTATAAATTTTGTAGCTATCTAAAGATACTTCTCTGACAAGCAAATTATACCCAAAAAATAACTTTTAAAAAGTGACCTAACCTAAAACCACTCATCTCTTTATATAGCTCTTTATAAGTTGTATGAATTAGTATGATACGCAGAAAACATCTGCACTTGCCAAGGCACAAAAGGCAGTTTCTAACACTGAACCCTCCGGTTCAGTTTCACAGAGCATGAAATTTAGTTATTTCTGTATTCTTATTCTGGAGCATGTTATCAGATTGTGTCTCACTCCATGGAGAAAGACAGTTGATTTTTCTTGACATGTGAAATGTGATGTGGGCAGTTTTAATATCAGGAAGGAAAAAATACTGACAGTAATTCATAGACTAGTCGACATAACAATCAGGAAGGCATTTCAACTATCTTGGTATTAACAATGTCAGATTCAAAGCTCTTTTGTTTGTTTTGTTAAATTTTTAGAAATGTGTTTAGGACAGAGCTGAAACCCTTTGAAATCTAAATTACAACTCTATTACTTTATGGTTTTATATAAAATTATACAGGGCTAAAAAAAGTGTAAAATTTCAATTGCACTGATTCTAGAATAAAAGTTTATCATCCATTACAATCTCTTAGATTTCTATACATGCTTAGCTATTTGAAAACTATCCAAAGCAAATTTCTAAAAAGTTATTCTTTCCCCCAAAGAATAATAATTTAAAACTGATTTTATAATGCTTTTGGAAGTTAAATAGCTTTTGTTGAAAAATTATATTTAACTGGATAAGCTACAAATTAGAATTATGGAAAATTAGGTCAAATTCCATCACTACATAAATTTACATATATAAAAATGAAATAGTACAGTCAATGGCCCTTCTTAATGCCAAGTAGTATCTATTATAAAATTTACACAAAACAAAATAATTGAAATAGTTCCCAGGAGTTTATTTCAATGGGACTTAACCCATGCTTTATGAGAAATAAATTAAGTTTAATGTGCTTTAAGAATACAGTGAGAGAGAACTATTAAACTTACATAATTATAAGTTATATTCTTAAAATATACAGTTATAACGTAACAGTTATATTCTTAACGTTGAATGCCATAAAGAGGAAGAATGTGACAACTCAAATCCTTCCTCTTCTTCAGTCTATCTAGACTTCTTAGCCATAACACCTTTCCATTAGAAAGTCCTTCAGTTACAGTAACAAAAATTGGGACAGGTAGACTGATTAAAAGTATTTCTGTATCAAATTCAGGCACAAGAGGCAGTTTAGGAGACAAGTTCTGACTGATATTTTGGTGGCATTTCGATAATTTTTAGAAAAAGAGAATACATTTGACAGTAAAACTGACCCAGAATTTCAGAAATGTGTGGCTGTCATAGCTATAGCTTCTTAAAAGAATCTAAGAATCACCTGGCTTTTTAAACATGATTTATTTTTGATTGTTATTTACACATCATATTGTGACATGATCAATTATTATCTAATTGGATGGCCATTTATCCTTTATACTGTTATTTAATATTAGGTTGAACTATATAAAATTGCTATTTTGTGGGTAAAACATAAACATATAATTCAACCTCAGAGTTACACTATTACAGTGTACATAATTTGTTAATGCAGTAGACCATGTACACTTAAAAAAAAGGTCGAGCCCTCTAATCTAGTATACCCAGACACTTCTGGTTCCTAGCAGTGAGTTACACTTTTAGTTGTGTTTGGTTCCAAACCTGTTCATACCATTTATATTATTGTAACTGTGTGATTTAATTAAATGTTAAGTAACGTAATGAAGTATGGAAGAGTGGGGAGTTTTATAAAGTTAAATGACTCTGAAATACTCAATAAAAGTGAAATACTTACGCTGCTGAATTAGGTATAGGCCAAGAAAATAGTTCAAAGAAATGGAAAAAATATTGCAAAGATCTATAAGGATTCTAAACTAAGAATTCATCTGAAGAGCCTAAATTATTGTTCTACTTAAAAAACCCAAACTGGAATCTTACATGATACATTATGGGTATGGCTTCCCCAACACAGATAATATGGATCTACAACAAGTAGACCTACTCTGAAAGAAAAGACCTTGGCTCCTTCAGAGGTGTTTGAACTGGAGCAACCCCATCTTGAATAGGGCCTGGGTAAAATGAGGCTGAGACCTACTGGGCTGCATTCCTAGGAGGTTAGGCATTCTAAGTCACAGGATAAGACAGGAGGCTGGCACAAGATACAGGTCACAAAGACCCTTGATAAAACACGATTGTGGTAAGGAAACCAGCTAAAACCCACCAAAACAAGATGACAACCGAAGTAACCTCTGGTTGTCCTCACTGCTCATTATACATTAATTATAATGTATTAGCATGTTAAAAGACACTCCCACCAG